CATGATGGGTGGTTTTACTTACCTGACCACACAGCACTGAGTGTTCAGCAGTTTTACCAAATACAGCATGACATGCCCCACCCTCCCTATTCACCCGGTCTCATCCCAAACAACTTTATTTTGTGCCTCAATGAAAAAGTCCTCAAATGGAAATGTTTTGCCAATGTGGAAGAGGTAAAACAAAAAACAGCAGAAGTACTAAAAGGCATCAAAACTGATGAGTGGAAAAAGTGTCTTGATAAGTGTATTGCATCAAATGGACAGTACTTTGAAGGTGACTGAAGTCTAAACATGTAAGAATACATAAACATGTTTTATCAATAAATTCTGGGGTTTTGTGTCCCCCCTCATTATATATGCACACACGTATATGTACACAGGAACACAAATAGAATAATATTCAGCTATTTTTTTTAAAAGAATGAAATCCTGTCATTTGTAGCAGCATGGATGGAACTGGAGGCCATTATGTTAAGTAATAAAAGTCAGGCACAGAAAAATAAGTATGGCATGCTCTCTCTTATACATGAGAGATAAAAAGTTGATCCCATGGAGGTAGACTGATGAGATACCAAGAGGCTGGGAAGGATGTGTGAGTGGGGTGAATGGTGTTTTTTTTAAAAAAAGATGGTTTAATGAGTACAGACATCCAGTTTGACAGAAGGAGTAAGTCCTATTGTTTGACAGCAGAGTAGGGTGACTATAGTTAACAACAATGCATTGCATATTTCAAAAGAGCCAGAAGACTTGAAATGTTCCCAACACACAGAAATGATACTCTAAATACTTGATCATTACATATTCGGTACATGTAAAAAAAATCACATGTACCCCATAAATATGTGTCAATAAGAAATAAAATCAAAAATACAGTCAGTATACCTTATCTTTGGTTCCTGCATCTGTGATCAAACGCAGACTTAAAAAAACAAATATTCTTAGGATGTAAAACCCATGGATAAAAAAGGCTGATTTTTTTCATATATGGCAGGTTCCACTGGGCCAACTGCATGACTTGGGTATAGGTAGATTTTAGTATCTGAGGGGGTCCTGGTACCAATCCCCTGAAATATACAGAAGGGTGACTATACTTTCTACTGGACTGGGATACCTGCAGTACTGAAACAATAAAACTGAATTACAGGGGGTAGGAAATGCAAAAGAATAAAAAGAATCAGCTGAAATCTCTCAAAGACAAGTGAAATGCCAACTAAGAATATTTTTTTACCTCCCCTCTGCCCTCTTTGTATAGGGTTCTGGCAGAGTCTGGCACTACTAACATCTCACACTGAAGCTTTTCTGCTTGGAAGGGCAGCCTTCTTCACTGAGTCAACTGTTTCTGAATTCAGTTTTTAAGTAATCGCCTCTAGGAATCCTTCTACCATCACTACCGTTATCATCATATTCATAATTACGGGAGCCAGAATTTTATTAACACTAGTGGTATCATCACATGTAAATAACTGTCCTGTTGCTGCTCCATTCTTTCCACCTTCAACAGTACCTGCATATGCTTTGTTTGCCCCTTATGATTACACCAGTCAGAGAACATATCACACTGACTAGAAGTCACCTGTTTACTGCTGCTACTCATTAGACTCTAGGATCCTTAAGGTCAGAAATTTTAGTTTATCACTTCATCCCCAAACACTAGCACAGTTACCTGGGATATAGAGAAATTCAGAAAACATCTGACAAATGAATAAATTCCAATGTCCCTACTGCACTCTACAGAATATGTTTTTTAAAATATTTAAAGATAGTATCTTCACTTCACAAACTTAATGAAGAATTACAAAATCTAAATGAGAAAAAAAACAAGTGCTCTCCAAAACCACAAAAGCAGATTTACAACAAACGTCTTATGTTCTTAGATTAAAAAAGACTCTCATCACAAATGTGTCAATTTTCCCTAAGTTAATTTACATGATTCCAATACAAATATAATCAGTTTTTTTTCCTTGAAACCAGACAAGTTAACTGTAAAGATCTTTTAGAAGAATGACAACCAAAAGTAGACATGAAAGCTCTGACAAAAAAAAAAAAACAATAAAAAAAACTAGCCCTACCAAGTAGCAAAAAAATAAAGCCTGTTCTAATTAAATAAGTGTGGCACTGGGGTACAGATGAACAAAACCAACCGAACAGAACAGAAAAACTAAATATGCACCCCCGTGCAAATGACATTTTTTGCCTGAAAGCACTGAACACTCTTACTGTGACTACCAGAGACCAAACACACTCCTCACATGATACAGTAAGATATGTAAAGGACCATCTACAAAATACACTTGCTGTAAAGATTAAATCTGAATTTAACCAAGCCTCCATATCTACCAGTGTTTTCAATTGAAGAAAAGAGAATTACAAAATAATATTATCATGATACAATCGGTCAACTCCAAAATGTGGGAAATGAAATAGTTTCTTCACCAAATGCATGGCACAAAGAAAAGGAGGGGGTTGTGAGGGAACTTTAAAGATCAAAAGAGATTTAAGAGGTATATGAACCCAATACATGTGGATCTTGTTGACATACTGACTTGAAAAATACAATTATTTACATAAATATATTTGAGGAGGGGGTATGAGTACAAGAAAACAAAAAACACAAATTTCAGACAATTAGGAAAATTTAAATATAATATTAAAAAATATTATTTTATAAGGTATAATAATGAAATAACAACTATGTTGCAAACTAAACCTAAAGCAAGCAGAAAGAAGGAAATAGTAAAGATTAGAGCAGAAGTAAGGAAACAGAACAGCAAAACAATATAGAAAATCAATAAAACCAAAAGCTGGTTCTTTGGGGGAAAAAACCCAACAAAATTAATTTAGACTAATCAAAAAAGAGAGAGAAAACTCAAATTACTAGAATCTGAAATGAAAAGAGGAATATTACTAAAAAGCTTAAAGAAATAATAAGGATTATAAAGGAAATGTGTACAACTGTATGCCAACAAATCAGAGGATTTTGATGAAATGGACAAACTCCTAGAAAAAGACACAAACTACCAAAACTGGAGAGACTGTACTTAAGCAGAGGCTGAAAGCCATCTGTTGAGAATATTACTGAAGGAATTCTGGAGGATGGGTATAGTGTATTAACTACCCTCTAATAACTCTATCAACATGATTCTATGAATTTACATTCTTCTCCATTTGTGGTATGGCATCTGTAAGGTGCAGACTGCCTCATTCCCAGCACTAATAGCTGACTCAGATCATAGAAGCAAATACCACACAAGCCAAAGTTTCTTATAAATTTGTCCATGAGTAGCTACCCACATTTAACAGGGACTTTGTATTTATTCACCTTCATTATACATACATCTATTCTCATTATACACACATCTAGCAGAGTGTCTAGCACATAGCTGGCAGATTACACCTTATGGTAGACAAACTTATAAGATTGCCCCCAGTGATCCCAACCTCCTGGTATTCATGCCCTTATGAAATCCCTTCCTCTTGAGTGAAGGCTGGACATACTGAATTCTTCTAACAAAGACAATACTGCAAAAGTTATGGGATACTACTTCTGTGATTTGGTTATGAAAAACTGTGACTTCTGTCTAGTGAACAGACTCTATTACCTTATCTGCTTATACACTTTGATGAAACAAGCAGCCATGATGAAAACATGGAAAAGAATTGTTGGCGATCTCTAGCCAAAAATTCAAGAGGAATTGAGGCCCTCAATCTAACAAGCTGAAAGAAACTGAATCCTGCAAGCAAACATGCGACCTTGAAAATATATCCTTCCCCAAACAAGCTTTAAGATTACTATAGCCTAGCCAACACATTGATTGCAGCCTATTAAAGACTCTGAAGCAGAGGATTTAAATAAGCTGTGCCCAGAATCCTGACTCACAAAACTGTCAGACGATGATGCCTTTTAAGTTTAAAATAAACTTCAGTATAACTTAGAGTAAGGTAATTTTTCTATCAAGCCTGACAGAACAAGGGTTCCAGGTGTTCACTTTTGGTGAAGCCGTAACCTCTGACGTAGCACTACTGATATTCTTACAACCTTTTCAAAAGTGTAATCTGTTATCAACCTTCTTTGTTATCCCATTCCACAGAGATAATCAGGAAGTGTAAAGCACAGTTCTTCCAAAAGTTGCCTCAGATACTTTCTGCTACTACTCAAAAAAATGTGGCAAAGCTACCTAACATCATTTATAAGATGTGTTTTTTTAAAAAATGGACACATGGGACGTCAGTAGATATTATAAGAAAATACCTCTATGGTCAAATAAGCTAAGGGACTACTAAGTTAAACAAAATTATACGTATTCTTTCATTATAGTCCAAACTATCAAAAGAGCATAAGAACTTTAAAGCCTGATATTTTTACAAATTCATTTACTGTCATACTTAACCTCTTTATATCTAGTCACACTGAATACTCTCTTTCTCTGCAGAACTAAACATTAGTTTCCCTCAAAATACTTCCTTAACACTATTTATAGATCTTGGTTGTTTATTTGTTCATATTTCTAAATTATCAATTTCATATTCAACACTGCAATCCATGTAATCCCAGCACCTGGTTCAATTCCTGCCACAAAAGAGCTACTCAAAATGTGTTGACTAAATACACTAAGAATGGCAAAGCAAACTCAATGACCTACATTGAATGACAAAGAAAATATATTGTTAGCTGCTTACAAAAATCAAAAAAATAAGTTATAACAAAACATTAGTTTTAATATAATATGATCTTGGAATATATAGTAAATGATATTTTTTACTTAATTATTAGATTATTTATATAACCTGTGTGACACCCAAACTAGCAGTATTAAATTAATACGGGTGTATTAATTAAAAATTAAGTGGAGTTAATCAGGGCACGTGAATTTTTCTCAATATTTCTTTACTGCAAATGCTACTTTGGATTCCTAGAAAAACTAGAGGACATTTCCAGTCAGACACTTATGTTTACATTACAGCATATGCTTTAAACAAGTAAATGACAAAAGGTCACATACCAAATGAAACTGATCCACTTTTGGGATTCCATCTTTATTTGTCTCAAATTCCTGATTTTGAACAGAAAGCTGCAAAAGAATATAAGAATGAATAAATTCCAAATGTATCAAAGTACTGATCCTATAATAAAGTCAATTCTGGAACTTCAGATCCTGCTGGGTGGAGAAGAGCTCACTTGAAGAAAACATATCAACTCTTGCAGAGTAAAAACACTTTCACAATAACTACTTGATCACAAATGGTTCCTAGAGCTCCCAAAGGAACAGAGGTGATGCACACACTGTAAGCCCTTTAATACTTCCCCACCTTACAAACACATGTGTTAAAGCTTAGTCACCTATATCATGTTGGCTTCACCAATACTCAAAAATTAGGACAAATAAATCAAGCAAGTTTCCTTTCACCCTACCTAATACTTAGCCTGTGCTCAAGAAATATAAGCTAAACTTTTAAAAACTATTAAATATAGAGAATTTCCTACATATACAAAGTCCCATGTATTCATCACCCAGCCCTAACAACCATCAACCAACGACCACTCTTGCCCTATGCACAAATCCATAAATATTATCTTTGAGCCAAATCCTACATGTCTCATAATTTCACCTGTAGATATTTTTGTATATTTCCAAAAGACAGTATTTTATTCTGACACATCACAAAACCATTATCACAAAAAATTAGTAACTTTGACATCAAAGACCCACTTTTCAAATTTTAAGCCATGTTATAAATATCACAAATTTACTGTTATTTATAGTTTCGTTAAATCCAGATCCAAATAAGTTCTACTCACTGCAATTAGAAAATGAGCAGAAGGACTTTTGGTCCATTCCTGCTCCTCCCCACTAAGTACAACTAGAAAATCTGGAAATAGCATAAAATACAACCAAAGAAAACTATGAGAGGTCAAAAGAGGAAGGAAAACTGGTTGGAGACCCCAAGACTAGAGGCATAATATAAAAACAAGATGCCTTATGACACGCCACCCCCAAAACTAAAGTAATCCAGATCTGATATTTCCTAACTCCTAAACAAGCAATAAAAAGCACCCCAGGTAGATTCATTCCTCTCTTGAATTTAATAGGATGGCCATCAACACCACCAGGTGAGACTAGGAGAAACAAAAAGAAGGCTTGAATGGATACCTTGCCATCAATAAGCAGCCAAAGGAAATACTCACCATGATCAGCAGCAGCCCTACCTTTCCCCACCCAAGACACCAGGAGACCACAGGCACCAACAAGGAAAAATCACACCTCCAGTGGCAGTCCAGTAAGTGTACTCTTGACTCCCATAAGTAGGGAGACCCCACCAAAATAAGAAGTTGGCTCAGAAAGTATTCCATCCGTCATAGGAAGGGGAGATCCTGTCACAACAAGCACCTGGCTTGGGAAGTTTCATCCCATGAACCAAAGACCCATTCTCTTACTTAGAAACACCAGACAGCTCAGCCCTAAGCAGCTCTTTTCAGTCACTCAAGCACCATCAGCAGAGGACACAGGAGGCCCAACAGCATGCAATGACCCAAGCAGATAAACTAAAAAGTCTCTGAAAATTAGATTACCATTAAAACCACAATTCAAAAGGTAATCTAGGACCTCTGTGTTAAATCTAAACAGAGTGACTGCTAGCTAAAATAAAACTTTCAACAGGACCCAGAATCTACTAAAATAAGTAGCCAAAATGTCCAGGACAAAGTAAAAATCACTTGTAATACAAAGAACCAAGAAAACTAAACTTCAATGAGAAATTGCAATCAATATCAAGATAAATCACATATTATAATTACCTGACAAGAACTTTGAAGTAATAATCATAAGATGCTTCAAGAAGCAATTATAATTTCTCTAACATAAATGAAAAATAACAAATCTTAACAAAGAAAGAGAAGTAATTAAAATGAACTACATGAAAACCATAGAACTAAAAAGTACACAAGTTTAAGGCTAGATGAGCTAAGTGAGTTGAATAGTACGAGATGACAAAAGACAAAATTGGTCAACTTCAGGACAAATCAACAAAATTTTCTCAGTCTGATCAGAAAGAAAACAGATGGAAAAAAATAAAAATAAATGAACAGAGCCTCAGAACCTGTCAGACAACAGCAAAAGATCCATCTTTTGGAAGTCCCAGAAGAAAAGTTAAAAGATAATGGAGCTAAAAGAGGTTTTATAAAAATAATGGCTACAGATGATTAAACAAAAAAATTATGGAATATACATACAATAGAATGCTAATCAGCCATAAAAAGAAATGGAATCATATCTTTTAAAACAACATGGATGGAACTGAAGGCCGTATATCTTAAGTGACACAACTCAAAATCAGATACCACATTCTCACTTGCAAGTAGGAACTCAATAAAATGTGCAAATAGATATAGAATGTGGACTCAAAGTTACTGGAGACTGAGAAGAGTGGAAGAGTGGGGGAAGGGGAAGAGAGATGAGAAAATGGGTACAATGTACATTCTTGGAATATGGTTACACTAAAAGCCCAGAGTTCACTATTACACAATATATCCATGCAACAAAACTGCACTTGTATCCCTAAATTTGTACACATGAAAAACAATAAATTAAAAAATAATGGATGAAAAGTTCCTAAATTTTCAATATTCAAGAAGTCATGCAAACCCCAAAAGAAAAAACTAAAAAAAAATGAAAGTTCTGAAAACTAAAGACAGAATAAAATCTTGAAAGCAACCAAAAAGGAATGAAACATTACCTACAAAGGAATAACAATTTGAATGATGAAGATTCATCATATGAAACTATGGAGAGCAGAAGGAAGTAACACATTTTTCAACTTTTAAAAGAAAAGAACTTGCAACCACAAATTCTATATCTTGTGAAGCTATCCATCAGGAATGAAGGTGAAATCAAGATGTTCTCAGATACAGAAAAACTAAAAGTACTTGTCACTAGAAATCATCTTTTTTTTAGATTAGAAGATACAGTTTATTTATAAAATAAATTAGAAAAAGAGAGAGAATAAAAGTGGAGATTCACCTCCCCAAGGTTAGGGAAGGGACCAAAGCTTAAGAAAACATGGGCTGGCCATAGCTCAAAGAACACATGGCCATACCATAGCTTAGCAAGGCAATGGTCAACATAATCTTAAAGAATGGCTTTAAAAAGTTATTTCACTTCAAACAAAGAGGAAATTATTTTTCAAAAGGGGTCTCAGAGCATCAGAAAGGAAGAAATAACAATGGAAAGAACAGAAATATGAGTACATACCACAGACTATCCACCTCATCACGAGTTTTCTAGTCATATATGATAACTAAAGCCAAAATGTAGAGCACCATATGATACTCAAGACAATGATATTTTTAAATGGGGAGAGTATAGCACTTTGGGAGGCAGAGGTGAGAGGACTGCCTGAGTCCAGGGGTTCGAGACCAGCCTGGGAAACTTGATGAGACTTCATCTCTACAATAAATCAAAAAATTAGCTGGGTGTGGTGGCATGTGCCTATAGTTCCAGATACTTAGAAGGCTGAGGTGGAAGGATTGCCTGAACCCATCAGATCAAGGCTGCAGTGGCCATGAGTGTGCCACTGCACTCCAGCCTGGGTGTCAGTGAGACTCCGACTGAAAAAAAAAATGGGGAGAGTAAAGGAACCTCAATAGAAGCACTTCACTCAGAGTGATAAAATGCTGACACCACTAGAATGTGATATCACATTTGTATATTGTAATACTCAGACCAACCAGTAGGAAGACCATAGAAGACAATACACTCAAGAACATCTTAAACTTTTCTGCATACTGCCCACTCCTGCTCTGGCTACACCATGGAGGCTCCCGCTATAAGCTATCGGTACCAATGTTCCCCTCCAGCTGCCATCATGATTATCTCTGACAATTACAAGATCTGAGAGATTGCAAACAGTCTGTATCCTGGAGGTAGAGGGGAAGACAGAGAATAACAAGGATAACATTGGTGGAAATGCCTCTACTAAAGACAACATGGACGAAAAGTACTAAAAGCACAGCAAACACTGGCATTAATACTGCCATGGACCATCATTTACAGGAAACCAGTTTCACAAAGGAAGCCAACAAGAAGCGTATCAAAGGTTACAATAACTCAATCCAAAGCAAACCTGATGAACAAAGACTAGAAAGAATAAAGCCTTTTATGACAGGAGCTATAGAACAAACAAAGTACATCCTTGATAATTTCAAAAACTACCAGTCCTTTATGTGTGAAAGCATGAATCCACGTGGCATCGTGACCATACATAATTTTCTTTAAGGATGATTTCGAAATGGAAAAATGTTAATAAAGTTGGCAATTACTTTGTATCTATCACCTGTCATCTCGACCTGCTACTGTTTATTATCCACAAACAACAGGACTTAAGACAAATGAGGCTGATGTCATCTTGAGCTTTTCATTTACTCTGACTGTATTTATATGGAGTAGAGGTATTGTTTCAAAAAAAAAGTCATGTGGGTTGTCAAAAAATAAAATGCATTGAAACTAAAAAGAAACCCACCATAAATATATCAAAAAGGATTCTTAAAATTTTTTCAAGTAATTCACGGTGAGGAAAAAAAAAAGAAAACTGAGCAAGAAAGATAAGAAAACAAAAAAAAACTAATAATAAAATGGTAGACTTAAGCCCTAACATGTCAATAATTACCCTAGATGTAAATAGTCTAAATACCCTCAATTAAAAGGCAGAAGTTAGCAGAGTAACTAAAAAACATGATGCAACCATATGTTATTTACAAGAAACTTCATCTAAATTCAACATAGGTCCCTTTAGAGTAAAATGATGCTAAAAGATATACCATGCAGACATAATTTTAAAAACACAGGAATGTCTATGCTAATATCAGATAAAGTAGACTTTAGAGCAAATAATTAGTGCAAAAAATTGAACATTATATAATGATAAAAAGAATCAATCTAACAAGAAGACATAATCCTAAATATGTACAAATTATACAAGAAGGCCTTAAAGTACAAGACAGAGCTCAAAGAAGAAATAGGCAATTCTACTATTATAGTTGGAGATTTCAACTCTTGACAGCTGACACAACAGTCAC